CTGAGTGTGCAGGCATTCAGATTGTTCCTTGAGATTTTTTGGCTTTTTTGTTACTTTTCCCTTGTATGTTTTAACATTGGGAAGGGCTCACCTTCAACTCTCATTTTGAGAAATGAGAAAAAAAGGGTAGGCATATATTCAAATACAGTACACTGAAATGCCAGTCGAATCTTATTTCTTTTGATAGTGTTACAAGCTTGGAGGATCAGGAAAATGCTGTGGACGTAATGTGTCTTGATTTCTGTAAGGCTTTTGGTGAAGTCCCCCATGATATTTTTTGGGGAAAGCTGATAAAATGTGGGCTGGATGAGGTAACTGTTAGGTGGATTTTTATAGCTGGAACCCAAAGATAGTTCCTAATCTTTCTGGGAAAAAGTGACAAGTGGGGTGTCGGAGGGTTCTGTCCTGGGTCTGTTGTTGTTCAACATTTTTGTAAACGACTTGGATGAAGGAATTGAGGGGATGCTCATTCCATTTTCAGTTGACACCAAAGTGGAAGGGGTAGTCAATGCCACAGAAGACAGAACCGGGATTCAAGATGACCTTAATAGATTGGAGAACTGGGCCCAAAATCACAAAATGAAATTCAACAGAGAGAAATGTAACGTTTCGCAATGAGGCAGGAAAAAGTAGCTACACAAATATAAGATAGGGGATTAATATCCTCGTTCACGGGCAGGGTATAATGAATAAAGGTAAAAGGTAAAGGACCCCTGGATGGTTAAGTCCAGTCAAAGGCGACTATGGGGTGCGGCGCTCATCTCGCTTTCAGGCCAAGAGCGCCGGCGTTTGTCCGCAGACAACTTTCTGGGTCATGTGGCCAGCATGACTAAACCACTTCTGGCGCAACGGAACACCGTGACAGAAACCAGAGCGCACGGAAATGCTGTTTACCTTCCCGCTGCAGGGGCACCTATTTATCTACTTGCACTCGCGTGCTTTCGAACTGCTAGGTTGGCAGGAGCTGAGACAGAGCAACGGGAGCTCACCCCGTCTTGGGGATTCGAACCGCCGACCTTCTGATCAGCAAGCCCAAGAGGCCAGCTGCTTTTCAATTCTGAATATGACTTAACTTTTTTCAAAGATCACCCAATACTCCTACACAAGCCAAAGAATTTAGAGTAATATATGAACTATAAAAGAAACATAAGGAAATCCAGTCTTGCCATGTGGACTTTTGGGTAAAAATGCCCTCTTTTCCTACCTGTTTGTACTCAGACTCTCTTCCAACCAGGACTTGCAGAATGTAACTGATAGGGTCTCCCTTCATGGGGGGAACAGCTTCCCAAGCAATTTCACAGGCGTTTCCTTCCAGCTGTCTCACTCGAGGGGCTAAAGACAAGAGATTATAATAATTTTATTCCTTTTCAAGTTTCTAACATCCCGCCCCTCCCCCAAGAATATAGTAAATACAATTAATTCATTCCTCCCACCCATCCGACTTAAAATAAGTGAGAATAGAACATAGATGGTATGGTGAAACAGACAACCAATGGATCGGAACACAGAATGTATTTGCAATGTTTCTTTCAATTTACGGCAACCCATGCATACCCAATCCTAATCCAAAATATTTTCTTATTAGAAAAGTAGAAAACGAATGGAGGAGATATATATAGAGAAAGGAAGAGAGCCATGTGGAAGAATGTGGCTTTTCTTGTTGAAGAAAACAGATATGGTTAAGCTGGGGTTGCCCTACGTCCAGCATTTCCCGGACATATCCGGAATACTGCATTCGTCAGCTGCGTCCGAGTGGAAATTGGCCAAATGTCCGGAAAAATCTGGACATATGGCAGCCCATGTCAGCATCCCCTTCGCAGAGTGGTCAGCAAGATGTCTGTACCCAGCCTAAGAGCATTCTCCATTCCTGTGATTTCCAGCAACTGACATTCAGATAGCCTTTCCCCACCATTCAAGATTCTAATGGAATGGTTACACTCTCAGATGGGCACAGGGACCCTGCTGTTCCTTTTGTACCAAAGGCAAACACGGCAAAGCTTCTGGAACTTGCAGATTCCAGACTGCCATTCAGATTCACGGCATGCATTCTGGGCCCCAGAGGGAAGCATGATTTGTTATCAGCTCACACCCGCACTGCCCTTAGCACAAGCTGATTGTTACTCTGGGGGGGGGGGGAGAGAAATCCTCTTCCATCAAGGCAAAAGCCATCACATGTCACTTAGGGCCCCATCAGCTACAGGAATCTGATTTCTCAATAAAGCATAAAGCTTTCAAGTAGCTGACAATTGCGCAGCCATGCATCTGTCCCCATGACGATCGTCTGTAACAGGGGTAGGCAACCTAAGGCCCGTGGGCCGGATGCGGCCCAATCACCTTCTAAATCCGGCCTGCAGACGGTCTGGGAATCAGCATGTTTTTACATGAGTAGAATGTGTCCTTTTATTTAAAATGCATCTCTGGTTTATTTGTGGGGCATAGGAATTCCTTCACCCCCCCCCCAAAAATATGGGGAGAATACAAGCTGGTTCATGGCGACAGGAACAAATGTTTATTTTAAAAGGAATAAAGGGGGGAGGGGAGCGTGTGGTTGCTGAACAAAACACACCAAAAAGGTCAATGGAAAGCAGTAATGGCAGAAGCCTCAACTCCCATCATGGCAAATCCAAGATATACAAATAATTTATCAGCTGCTCAGGGCTGCATAGTTGGCCTATATCTGCCTTGAGAGACAATGGAGTGTACCTCCAAGGGTGAAGTCAAACCGCTGCCAAACTCTGCGACTGCTGTGGCTGCAGAGACCGGTAACTCATAACTGCTGCCTCCTGCGTTGTTTTTGCTGTGTTACCAGCACCAAAGTGACCTCTCTGGGGCACAAGCCTGGGAAGTATGTATGGAGGTCCTGCGCTGCCCAGATGACAAGATTCCCCCTCTGATGGGGTCTGAAGGAAAGCGGGGCACTATGTTTGGCTGCAGAAGTTGCCATCCAACAGCCTTAGGGACTCCAATCCCGATTTGTGTAGGGTTTACTTCTTAGCTGCTTCTTCTCCTGAAGACGTCCCACAAGGCAGTGGGTACAGATTTTCCTTGGGGTTTACCCCTGAAGCCTTCCTCACAAATGGGTGTAGCCACAACCCTCAGTGATGAATGAAGTAAAAACAGACTAGCTGCAATGGCTAGGCTCTGACTCCATGGTTTCTCAATACCTTGGTTATCAAATGCCTTGGTACTCTGATGTTTTGGCCCCCGGAATAAGTGTTCCGGTTTGCGAACGTTTTTCGGAAGCCGAACGTCCGACGCTCCTGCAGCCAATTGGAAGCCACGCCTTGGTTTTCGAACTGTTTTGGGAGTCGAACAGACTCCTGGAACGGATTAAGTTCGAAAACCAAGGTACGACTGTACTCAAGGCTGCTAACCACTCTAGGGGAGAGTGCTGTTGTACTTGTGGGTTTTCCACAGGTATTTCCACGTTCACTGCAGATGTTAATGAGACCTGGGCAGATACGTTACACTTAAAGGTCTAAAAGGAGGATAAGAAAACAACTCATATTGATGAAGCTCTAGCTGGTGTCAAAGCAGGGTAGCTCCAGAACCTCTGTCTTACTTCCCTCTTTTATCAAATGGGGCGAACAATCATGTCCTCTCAACAGTGGACTATTGAGGACAAATGAAATCACAGTGTATGCTACAAGTGCTGTATAGGGTATTAATAATAACTGAAAGAGTCAGGTGGTTGGTTTACTTCCACAGGCGCACAGCCCAAACCAGGAGGTGCGTCTTATTTACCTTTGATGGCGGGGGGAATGGATTTGGTTGTGCTGAAGGTAAATACTTCTGAGAAAGGTCCTTCCCCAGCTTCGTTTACGGCCTGTATTCTGAAAGCGAAGCAGGTGAACTCCATCAGCCGTTGTACCTTGTAGGTGTGACTTGGTCCCCTATAGATTGGAATAAATCTGAAAAACACAAGGGGAGAGAGAAGACCAAGTTAGTTGCTATTTACTGCTTCAGAGTGTTTCATTAACTCAATGTGCTCTTTACACACAGCTGTGAACTTTGGATTTGGATCTAGCATGGACTGTCCAGACATACACTGCTTTGACGTTCTGCACTCCTGATTATCAACAGCAGGAGCATAAATTCATGCAGTAGCCGAGTACTAATGTTTCTCGGAAAATATCTGGATTCACAGCATTAAATTGGTTGTAAAAGGGTTGGGCTCAAACATAATACAGCTCAATGGCCAAAAATGTTTCACAATCAATATGAAACTGCTGCAAAGCACACTTACAATGGGGATTGAAAAGAGAGGTTGCAGAAAGTCGGATACCCAGTGGGTCCATTGCAGATGTAAAACTGACTTCCTGCCAATTTTGCAAGTCAGGCTTAGAGCACCCTGCCCCCCAGTTGCAAATCAACCCTTTGTTTACCTCGTTATAGTAAACCATGGTTAAAGGCCAGCATCTGCTATGATGGTGACGCTAAGCAGTTTTCTTCTTAATTGGATTTGCAAACCCACTTCAAGCCCTGGTTTTGAATTCTGGTTAGTGTTCACCTTGGTTAACACCTTGGAAAACCATTCTCAGGCAAACAAAGGGGGAGCTTACACTGGGAGAGACGTGGGAGGCAGAGGGAGCACTAATTTCCGGGTTTGGCTCACGATTGGCAAAACCATGGTTTGCAGCAAGTTCTGCCAATGACCATGGTGCCACAAACATAGACCTTCTTAAAAAAACAACAACCTTAAATACCCAGGAAGGACCAACTGCTTACTACTAATTCATTTCCATCAACAAGTGGCTGTGGAAGAAACTATTGCGATTTCAAGGCAAATTAACAGAGGAGTCTTCAGTCCTAACCTAATTTTTACTCCCTTGGTGTAAACTAGCTTGCCCAAAGTCAGTAGCCTAGTGTCATCCTATGTCCCTGAGCATCTCATGTGTCATCGATTAGCAGTGCACACCACTAGGCAGATAAAATATTTATTTTATATTATTTAGAAAATGTATATACTGCTTAACACTTCTGCCACAGAAGAAAACCCAAGGAAAATGGAAAGCTTATTGAACTTTCATGCTGTCCTTGCACAGGTGCCTTGCTAATCTTCTCTGCAGATCATGTACACAAGAAAGTCAGGGAGAACTACCTAATCAACAATGGGCCCGGTTAGCACTACGTCTTTATTTTGGGTTGGATCCAGAGGACAGAGGAGTGGAAAGACACTAATAATATTCAATAAGCACTTCCAGAAGAGCTTGGGCAAGAGTTCATTTAGTGCCATAATAGGACGGCAAGGCGTAGCATCTGTCCCCATTCTACGAGTTTTTGTCATTATCTCTGGATTTAGCCTTTTCACTTTTCTCACACAGTGCTCTAGTATGAAGGGTCACAAAGTCCTATAGTGAAAGAGGAATTCCGCATCAGTCCATCCCTAATACAGAAGGGTGCCTTTGGACCCGACACGTATGTTTTTCAATGTCAGGCTTTCAATATAGTTTCCAATATTGCTTTCATTCATTCATCTGTTTCAAGCAGACTCATTTATGGTGACAGATACGTACTGTAACTCTTGACCTTGAATATTGTGCCCTGGTTCCAGAGACATCTGGCTGGTCATGGTTGGAAACATGACACTGGACCAGACAAACCTCAGTCTATTCCAGCACCATCCATTCTTATCATCTCCATGCATAATTATCACCCGCCTGATTGAATGTTTTGGAAGCCAAGTTTTTAAACCTGAATGCAATGTCAGTCATATGGCATCAGTCGAGAACAGCTAATCAACTCCAGTTTTTAAATTTTCTAACTCACATTTATATTCCACCTTTACTCCAAGGAGCTCGAGGCACTGCACACAATTCTCTTCCCTGTCTCATTTAATCCCGACAACAAATCTGTAATCTGGTTTCTATCCGGCCTTCTACCCAGCATATTGCTCAAGGCAGCTAAACGATTAAAAGAAAATCCATCAAAATGCAAACCGAACCATGCTAGCACCTGCGAGACTTCATGCCCCAAGGCTTCAGATTCCAAGTCCAGGAGTCCCTGACGCCAATTCCACTGGTCAGCATCACCTGCTTCTAAATGAAGCCAGGATGCAAACCAATAGTAGCAAAACTTTCAGGTACTTTGCCAAAACAAGAAAAGGCCACCCAAACTTGACTTTGCAGCGGGTTTGTCACCAACTGACGCTACATTTTAATGGTAGCTTAGGTTTGGCTGTGGTCTAAACCACAGAGCCTAGGACTTGCCGATCAGAAGGTCGGCGGTTTGAATCCCCGCGACAGGGTGAGCTCCCGTTGCTCGGTCCCTGCTCCTGCCAACCTAGCAGTTCGAAAGCACGTCAAAGTGCAAGTAGATAAATAGGTACCACTCCGGCGGGAAGGTAAATGGCGTTTCTGTGCACTGCTCTGGTTCGCCAGAAGTGGCTTAGTCATGCTGGCCACATGACCCGGAAGCTGTACGCCGGCTCCCTCGGCCAATAAAGCGAGATGAGCGCCGCAACGCCAGAGTCAGCCACGACTGGACCTAATGGTCAGGGGTCCCTTTACCTTTACCTAGGTTTTGAAAAGTCTAAATTAGTAAAGCTCAGGGAGAAATGAACTGACGGAGGGGACGGTCCTCAGAAAATTGCCCTCATATCTTTTCTGCATTAGCAACGAGAACCAGCCCTATTTGCTGGCATTCTAATATCAAATAGAACATTAATGTACACACATACAGAACACGGTGTTCCTAGAAAGAATGCTCAGGCATGGCAAGCCTGCAATGCGGTTGTCAATATAAATTTATTCTCCGTAAGGATCTTCCAGGAAACTGTTTGCATGCCACTGTATTGAATTTCCTGTTGACGTTTTAAGACACTCCAGTCAAACTTGGGAATTGTGAATAAAATCACAAACTCCCATGCTGTACCCTCGGCTTTTGAACATCTATTCAGGATTCCCCCCCCCTTTTATTTTTCTTTATTTCGGAGAGAGATTTTCCTCTTCCCAACAACTTCATTCTAAAAGGAAAGCACCCTAAATCTGCAAGCTTTAAACACCAGGTGAAATTCAGTGGCAAAGATATAAAAAAATGCGAAGAGCGATGGCTCCACTACCTAGGTGCAAATTCAGCCTCTCTCTTTTTGTACTCCAGGTGAAAAGCGACAGAGAAAGGGAAGTGAGAAGGAGAGAATTAATATCCTAATGAGCTAACCTGCTGACCTGAGGCTGTTTTCTCTGGAGCAGAAGCAACCAGGGCATTTGAAAGAGAGGTTTACACACCTCAATAAGCAGCAACCGCTAATAGTTAAATGAGATGTGATTCACATCACAGGGAAGTGCCAGTTTTAAGACAATAAATGCTTCACATCTCCCGCTCTTAAACGAAATTAATGTCAAACCTGCAGCTAATTATGGGATTTCCCCCCACCCCTTCTAATCCATGCTTCAAAACCGCAGCAGATAATTTGCCTATGAACTGAAGAGCACAAAGTTTTGAGAAGTGCTTGAAGCAGAAAAAAGGGGTGAAATCATTAGATGATGTAAAATAGGCAAGCCCAGAGACCTTTTAACGAAGATGGTACACCGGCAAGGAAGTTGCTTTCCAGAGTCTCTCACAGTTTAAGAAAACCAAACCATTTATACGGTGTCAATATTTGACAGGCAGGAGGCGTACAGTGGTACCTCAGGTTAAGAACTTAATTCGTTCTGGAGGTCCGTTCTTAACCTGAAACTGTTCTTAACCCGAGGTACCACTTTAGCTAATGGGGCCTCCTGCTGTCGCGCAATTTTTGTTCTCATCCTGAAGCAAAGTTCTTAACCTGAGGTACTATTTCTGGGTTAGCAGAGTCTGTAACCTGAAGCGTCTGTAACGAGGTACCACTGTATATCTATCTCTAGCTATGCTCATCTGGGTTGCAGTATTTCTTTCCTGAGATTTACAGAAGCAACAGAATTATTATTTCCCCACTTTAAAAACACTCCCAGGGGCTTACTTAAAATTACAGAACAAAGTATTTTTTTTAAAAAAAAAATCACCAATCTGTGTGTATAACTGGCTAGGTTGCTGCAAGTTATATCCATCCATGTTGGAGCAGATCCATTGAAATTAATAGACCCAACTTAGCCAAGGACACTGGAGTGCGTCTAACTCTTGAGTAAAAAAAACTCCAGCTACAACCACATGATGTTAAAATCCGGTTGCTATCTAGAACTGACGAAACAGTTGTCTGCATACAGAATTCTGGGTTGTAAAACGCCATCTGCCTTAGTTAAACCTACAGGACGTTATTGCAACAGCAAGCAAATGGCGGTTTTAGATTACCTGCAGAATTCATTGCCACAAGTTATATTGTGAGAATTAAGTGTCTCTTTGGGGGCACGTAGAGGAGCTCTGAGCTTTGCTTGCAGCAGCAGCACAGTAACTCAGGTCAGCATTTAGACCATGGGTAGGCAAACTAAGGCCCACGGGCCGGATCAGGCCCAATTGCCTTCGGGATCCAGCCCGCAGACAGTCCGGGAATCGCTGCATGGATCACCAGCGTGCATGTTCTTTCTCTCTCCCTCACACAGCGGCGGCGGCGGCCGTGCCTCCTCCCTCCCTCCTGGCTTCTCTCTGCCCTGCCTAGAGAAGGAAGGAGGCTGGGCTTTGTTGGTGCCAGCAGCAGCAGTGATCGAGCGACTGCCATTTTAAGCAGCCCCTCTCCGGAGCCCTTTCGTGTGCCGCTCATTGTTCTTCCGCCACAACCACCAGCCCCTGCTGCTCACAAGACACAGGTAAGTAGCCACCGGGGCTTATGGTGCTCTTGCATCTACCTCCAAAAAACATAGTCCGCCCCCGCCCCCAAGGTCTGAGGGACAGTGGACTGGCCGCCTGCTGAAAAAGTTTGCTGGTCCCTGATTTAGGCTATGCGCATGCCATACATTTAAAGCAACTCCCCCTCCCAAGAACCCTGGGAACTGTAGTTTGCCCCTCACAAAACTACATTTCCCTGCATCCTTAACCAAGTACAGTGGTACCTCGGGTTAAGAACTTAATTCGTTCCGGGGGTCCGTTCTTAACCTGAAACTGTTCTTAACCTGAGGTACCACTTTAGCTAATGGGGCCTCCCACTGCAGCAGCACGATTTCTGTTCTTATCCTGAAGCAAAGTTCTTAACCTGAGGTACTATTTCTGGGTTAGCGGAGTCTGTAACCTGAAGGGTCTGTAACCCGAGGTATACAGCCCCTAGGATTCTTTGGCGGGGGAAATGCACATTAAGTGTATGCCATGTATTAAACTAAATCTATAATTTGTTTAGTCTGATCATTTTCTATAGGCTTTTGTTAGAGTTGAGAATCTCAGTTCAAACCATGGCAGAACAGTCTTTCACAAATCCACCTTGCAGATACACATTTCTCATGTATTAATCAGAGGACACAAAGAATCTCAATTAACAGACACCATTAAGGACAAGATGAGAACAGAAAAGGAGTGTGTGTATTTACAACATACCCATGGGATAGTCACCACAGGTATATCATAGAATTAATACTTTTGGACAAATAGGGTGTAATCAACTCACTTTTTTTGTCCTTTTGTTTCCTGATGAGTTTGGCTATTTCAGAATACTATAGCAACCATATGGCTCTGTCTTAATTGCCAATTTCCTTTCCTTACTTGCTAGCCAAAGCCTAAAATATGTGCATGCTGATTATTATGAATGAGTATGATAATGCCCTATTTTTGTATTTTTCAGAGAATCTACTTGCTGCGCTCTCAGCGCTGGTCTGAAACCAGGCACTACTGTTAAAGTGGGTGTTAATGATCTTGATTCAATTAAAAGAGTGTAAACGGGTTCCTAATTAGACTCCTTGAAAACCTGCGGCAGCTGCGTATTAACTGTATTCATCACCGGGCAAAGCAGACTGTGTGCTTTGTGGGGTCTCTTTACAGCTTTATGTACAAACTGCTTATACCCAGAGCATCATGTCAAGGCTAACATACTAGGCCAGTTCAGGTGCAGTGCCAATGGCTGGCACTGGTGCAACCAAACCATGGACTGGTCTTCATACCAACAAATTTGTATTCCTGCATTGCGGGGGGCTGGAGTAGATAATCCTTGGGGTACCAGTACAATTCTAAGATTCTATTATTTTAAGTGATTCAAAAGGCAATGTGA